GGCCCGGGGCCCCCGTTTTGGAATTGATGGCCCCCGAATCCCCGGGGGAGGTTTGGGAGGGGATTCCCGAGGGCTTTTCTCCCTTGCTTGACACCCAAAAGGGAAGTTTTTTCCCCAAGGGGCCGGCCCGGGGGGGGGGGGCCCTTTTTACAGGGGGGGGGGGGGAACAGGGGCCCCCTTTGGCCACCCCGTGGATTTGTACCCCCCCGGAGTGCAAACGGCGAACCCCCCGATGCGGGGGGGGGAGGGGGAGGACCTGTTTTTTGGCCCGTTTTTCCCCGGGGGGGGGGGTATTTTTTTGGGGGGGGGGGTTTCCTTTTTAGGTTGTCCCCCCGTTTTTCCCCGACGTGAGGGGGACCCTCCACCCAAAGGCCCCCGGGACTAGGGGCGGGATCCCCCCCCCCCCCCAAAAGGGATTGGGGGCCCCCCCCCCCCCCCCCCGCCCGCCCGCCCGCCCCCACTCGCCCTGCCGGGACAGGAGCGCCCCGAGATCGGCGCGCACATTCGCCTCTAGGCGCACGGCGAGTCGGTCGCCGCGATGCTTGCCCCGTACATCTCTCCGGAGGCGTGGTTCGTGCTCCACCACCACGAGGTCTCTTCCAGATCCGAATCTCGGCTGATCTCGGCTGATCTCGGCTGATCTCGGCTGATCTCGCCTAATCTCTCGCGCCGCGCCACCACGAGGTCTTCCAGGGCTTCTACTACTACCACCACTTTGGCGGCGACCGTAACGCCCGCGAGGCGCTCTCGGGCACGGAGCACCCAAAAGGAAATACCCGTGGCTAAAAAGGAAATATCTCTGTCTAAGGCGCTCTCGGGCTCGGAGCACTACGCCGCGGCGGTGCGGTGGAACGAGTACGACCAGGCCGCCTTCGACCCCGCATACCCGAGCCTGCCCCTCTCCGCCTTTGCGCCCGCGCTGCGCCGCGTGCTCGGCCGCGACGCCTTCTGGTGGAACAGCTCGCACCTCAAGAAGCTCGCCGTCACGGGCAACGCCGGCGTGGGGGCCGCCACCGCCGGCGGCAGCAACGACACCCGCCTCGGCGCGGCCTGCAGCACGGCCTCGGCGTGAGCTGCAGGCAAGCGCTCTCTTGCACACACTCCCAACTTCCTGTACATTTGCCAGTGCTTCCTCTCGCTAATAACGCTATAGCGATGGTGTACCATCTAGGGTATGCGGCACCCAGAGTTCTATATCTGACGTACGCTTACAGCTACATTTGATGTCCTGTGTGTTTTCATTCTTTTACCAACGGAGGCGCGGCTTGCGAGGGTGCGGGAGAGGCTGCACGCGGCGGCAAGCTCTGCCAAGCCGAGGCTCTTGGTCCTGAACGGCATCGGCGGCGGGCTCGCCTAGGCGGCCCGCCATGAAATATAGCCGTGTGTGCTGGCGTCCGGGTCCCAGCGGGTTTTCACGTAACAAGTACACACAGTACCTGGTCTCTAGTGCTCTAACAACGAAGCCCCATTCCTCGCCGAGCAAGCTCGAAATCCTTTGGCGCAACGTACAGGCGATGCGCGCTTATAGCATTCAGATTGGCCACCTCGAGGATCGCTGTCAACCTGGCCTCTAGCAGGGTGCAGAGGGCTGCCATGGCCGTTGCCTCGTACGTCACCTTCTCGAGCTTGGCCTGGCGCGCGATCAAGCGGACCAGATCGCAGAAATCCAGAAACGGCATCGCGGGCGTGGCACAGTGTTGCTCGTCTCTGATGAAGGCCGCCGCTGCCATGTGAGCCCGCCGGTTCACGACCACGGTCTCTACGCCATGGGCCATCTGGATCTGTGCGAAGGCCTCGAGAAGGGCCGTCGCACCTGGTGTCGCCCGCCGCTCCGCCGCCTCCCTCTCCATCATCTGCGCCGCCGCAACCTCCTGCTGGTACACCTGCGAATCAAGCGATGCCTCCGCCTCCACGAGCGCTGCTTCGCGTTCACGCTCGCTGACGAGGTCGGGAGTTCGCCTCTCAGCCTGCTGAGCACGCACCTTCCGAATCCATGCGCGCTCCACCAAAACACCGGCCAATGGCTTCAGCCGATCGTTGAGCGCCTTGCTCGTCTGTCGCATTCGCAAGGCACCCTGGGTGCTCGTCGCGCGCAGGATTGCGTCCACCTCATGCAGTAGCTCATCAGGAAGCGCCTCAAGCGAAACGGTCTCCATACAGCTGCTGGCTCCACCTGGCGCGTTTGGCACGCGCACCGGGACCATGGCTCTGGCTCGCTGTCCTGGATGGCGGGACCACGCCTTGGAGAGGGCTTCAAGCAGACTGCCACTGCCGAGAAGCACCTCGCCGCGTATCCTCCCGGCGGCAAGGACGTGGCAGAGGCGAATGGTCCTGTCCCATGGCTCGCTTTGCTGCGCCTGGAGTAGGCTTGCCTCTCTCAGCATGTCTTCGAGGTGAGCGACCGCGGTCTTGCGTACGTGCTCATCAAGCGAGTCGCGAACGATCAAGAGCACACCAGCTCGCGCAGCGAGCCGTCCGACGACGAGGGGACTAATGAGCTCTGGGATGCGTCGCTGCGACTCCTGGACGCCAGAGCCATCCGTCGCCATACTCGGAGGGTCCATCGGCCAGCTCACACGATGAGAGCTCGAGCCGAGCTGCTCAAACCAGAAGCTGCTGTTCACGTCAGGCGGCGTCAGTGGACGGAAGGGCCGCACACCCGTGCGCGCGCAAACCGTCTCTGCTGGCAGATCGAGGAGTCCCTCCCATGCAACGCGAGGCCCGCCGTCCACGAGATCCGAGAGCCACCGCAGACGTGTACCATCAAGCGCGAGGCCGTTGCAGAAGCACATTTCTCCACTGTGTTCTCCGAAGCGACGCCATGTGTGGTCACTGATCCCTTGCTCCCTGAGCAGGTCCGCCGCAGGCAGGTTCAAGGCATAAGGCGGCTCCCGGACTGCTGACACTCGTGTCGCGTGGCCGGCGCTCTGCGCAAGCATACCGTGCATCCGTTTTTCCCACTGGTGCGCCTCGAGAAAGCAGTACGGGCTGTTGAAGTTGATCGAACCGCCGCTGCAGCACAGGAGGTTAAGCTCCTCGTCGTTGTCGATGGCATTGACCAGATGCTGCACAGTAATGCATTTCCTGTCTTTGCGAGAAGGCTCCATGCGATCGTGTGCGTTGCCAGAGAGCTCAAGCAGCTCAGCGGTAAGGTATTCCAGTACGGCACTGACAAAAATGGCGGCATCGTGGCTGAGAGAGCGACCAGTGGCCGCCTGCAGCATCGAACGGATGATTTGGATCGGAAAGGTGAGGTTTGTTGCCTGCAGCTGGAGAGGCGGTGGGGTCGGAGCAGGCGGCGAGCCTTCTTGCTCGCTCAGAGATGAAATGTGTCGGGAGCACTTTCCGATCGCCTTCTCGCCCTCCATACACGCATGCTTTGCAAGCTCGAGCCCATTCAGGAGAAGTTTCGTGGCCGCCTCCGCGCAGCCTTTGTCAATCTTGTTGGCAGCCTCCAGGAAAGCTCGCAGGTCGGACGCGCGCGTTGCGTCATCCTTAGCCTCGAACACCTGTATCGCCTGGGACAGTGCGGTGTCGGCAAGCACGTCCTCTTCGGCAATCCAGTCGAACCGGCCCTTGAAGGAGCTCACGAGGTATTGCTCAGCTGGAACGAGACGATAATCAAGAACGACGGGGTCTGCGCCCGCGTCAGTAGGCTGGCTGGAGGTTCCCCACGAGGTGAACTTTCCTGGAGTGAGAGCCCATGCCTTAGAGCTCCTGGCTGAGAAGCCATATCGGGTGAATTTTGCTGCATGTCCGGGCCGCATCGCGACGCGCTCCGCGAGTTGCGCCCGCTCCTCGGTGCTCATACTGAGGAGGTAGCCCAAATCAGTGAACCCCAGCTCCTCAAAGGCGCTCGCGTAGACCTGCAGCCCGACGCCCTCGAGGGCCCCCACCACCGGAGGCATACCGAGAGGGAGACCATGGTGCTGATGATGAGCTGAGACGTCGAGCAGTAGTTCCGCCAAACGTGTCAGAAGCTCAATATTGAGATCGCACAGGGAGCGCATGCAGCATGCGCGCAGCTGGGACTGTGGCCAAATCTGCTGCAGCACGATGTCGATTGGCACGTCGAAGTCGCTGACCAGCGCTTCGCAAGAGATCTCGCGAACCCCGCGCCAGGTGTCTCCTACAGCCGTGCGCATGTTGCATAAGGCTGTGTTCTCCGCGAGGATGCGGGATCTGACTTCTTGCGCCGAGTCGGCTTGAGATGCGCTAGTACGGTCTTCCACAGCGGCGAGGAATGACGCAGACATCGGCTGGCTGTCAAGTGTCACAGCTCGGCGCTGAAAAAGAAAAACGCCGGCCAGCCGCCGCCCCACCGTGTCTGTGTGGACGCCAGTAGTCCCAGCAGAAGCGCATCGCAGTACACGCTGCACCGGACGCAGGCTGCCTCCTACTTTGATGAGGACGCCTTTGCGGCGCTGACCGACGCGCTGACGGCGTTCGGTCAGCACGAGCTGGGCTGCCGCGCCATCTCCCCGCCGTGGCTCTCCTTCTATGTGGACGGGTGCGAGCAGCGGCTGCACGCAGACGTGCCGCAGGCCACAGCGCGGACCACGCTGCCAAACACGCTGCCAGGCAGCTTCCAGCTTCCTCAGCCCAGAGGTCCTCAGCCCAAGAGGTCCTCACAGAGGTCCTCACACACTGACAGGCGCGGATCGCGCGGCGCAAATGCTGCTGCCGGAGCGAGCTCTCACGGGTGGCCCATATTAGAGAGGCAAGGCGCGCTGCTTACGAGGTCACAGCCTCGTCTCGATGGCGCCCACCACCCAATTTACTGCCAATTTATAACCTAACGATGTCGCCCACCACCCATTTGCAGACTAAAATGCAAAACCAGACATACCAATCGGACGAATCACTTTGAAATCACAATGTGCGACATCCAAGTCGTGCAAGCATGAAGTAGCCGACCTTCGTGGAAAAAATTTTTCTTTTCTGCGTCTCGCCGGCGATCCTGGACTAGCCTCAGACATTGCTTTTCTATGTGAGTGGTGTGCCACCATGTCCTGAGTACCCTTTTCCCTCTCGTCGTCCTAGGGCGGCGTGCTAGGCAGCGTTTTATCTTCTTATCACTGGTCGACTGCATGGTGGGCGCCATCGAGACGAGGCTGTGACCTCGCGAGCAGCGCCTTGCCTCTCTAATATGGGCCATCGGTGAGAGCTCGCTTCCTGCAGGGCGAGCAGCATTGCAACGCGATGGCGCTGTCAGAGGAGGACCTCTTGGCTCTTGGACTGAGGACCTCTTCTAGGACCTCTTGGACTTGCACGCAGAGAGGTCCTCACAAAAAAAGTGGAGACAAGATGCCTCAGCCCAAGATGTCCTCACAGAGGTCCTCACAGACTGACAACCAAGCGCCAATGGATCTCAAACAATTGTTATTTGCAAATCAATAAACTAACCAGTTGTGACAAACATGACAATCTCTCTCAACGTGCAACCGCTTCGCTGTAGGGGCCGTTACGAGTTTCCTTTCGGAAAGGAATTGTTTTTCTCGTTCCTAAAATTGCATCAAAGCGCGTGAGTGCTGCAGTGGCCGATGCCGCGGCGCGGCGCGGGGTGCTGCGCGCGCCTTTTGCTTCTCCCACATCGGCCCAAACACCTTGGTCGTGCGGTACAGGTTCTCGCCCAACGTGTGTGTGTGTAAGTGTGTGTGTGATGAGGAGGTGGAGATGTGGAGGCGGGTTGGGCATAGGACAGGCAGAAAGAAGGCTAAGGTGGACAGAGGAGCGAGAATTTCGCATTCAGGGTGGGGTCAAGGCAGTCATTCAGTCAATCAGTACTTGAGTCAGTCGGTCAATCAGTTGGTCAGTGGAGAGCAGAGAGAAGAAGTTCAGATGGAAGTGGAGAGGGGAGGCGATAGCGAGGCAACGGGGAGCAGTGGGCGGAGGGGGATTGATGGAGAGGAGTCGAGAGGCGACATGGTGGGAGGAGGGAGCTACGCTGAGGAGGACGACGAGCTTATGCTGGAGTACATGGGGAACGAGGGCGTGGGCAGCGAGGAGATCGACAGGTTCATGGGGTGGACGACAGTGGATGTGGGAGACGAGAGGTTGGGACGAGCTCGGAGGGCGGGGCCAAGCGTGGACAGACGAACCGGGTTGGAAGAGCGAGGGACTTCAGGACGAGGATTCAAACTGCGCAAAGATCAGAGGAGGGACGTGTATTCAGACAAGCGAGGTGTCGCTCTCGTGCAGCAATGTGCCGTCGAGGTGAAGGAGCAGCTCGAATGTGACCGACGCGTCAGATCGCAGTGGCATGAATGCGGCGAGGAGGTGACGTTGGTAGGCAGGCAGCGCGATAACGTCCGCGTAGCCAGAGAGGCACACCGCCACCCTCATGTGCTGGCCTGAAGTCTGCCCAGGTTGTCGGGATCACGATCCCGGCGTGAACACGACTAATGACGGATCCGCTCCTGACAGTGTTGGTATATTGTTGGCAAATCAAGACACAGAGCTCGCTCCTGACAGTGGCATGCACCGCGCCGCGGCGCGTGCCACTGTCTTTGTTTGAAGTAAAAAGTCGAATCAGAGCGGTGTCGGCGTTGTCCCCCGATTTTGTCCCCCGGACCGCCCGTCCGGACCGCTCCGGGACGCACGCCGGCGAAGCACCATCAAGCTGCTGTACGGCCCCGGCATCGCCTTCCCAGGCTTAGCTAGACTGAGAGATATTGTGCACATGGTTGATCTCATATACACTGACACTGAACCTCCCAGAGCTCGTCCCGGTCCGTCACGGCCATCCTCGGCCTCCGGAGGGCCCCCGGCCGCGGCGCGGTACGTCGGCGTCACAAATCCGACCACAGAGCACCGGGACGCGGTCGGGCGATCCGAGGCCCAGTGAGGCGTATGCATTGCCTATCCAGGGCTATCACCTGGACCTATCAGGTTCGCCGTCTCGAGGATGGCGCCGGTGAGGTCGGCGCCGCGCAGGTCGGCGCCCTCGAGGTTGGCCGACGTGAGGATGACGCCGGTGAGGACGGCGCCGCGCAAGTCGGCATTCTTCAGGTTGGCGCCGGCGAGGTTGGCGCCGGTGAGGTCCGCCTTGGAGAGCACCGCCCCATCGAGGTTCGCCCCCTGTAGCTGCGCCTCGAAGAGAACTGTCCCCTGCAGCTGCGCCCCCTGCAGCTTCGCCCCCTGCAGCTGCGCCTCGAGGCGCCATGCCCCCTGTAGCTTTGCCCACCCGAGATCTGCCCCCTGTAGCTGCGGAGAGAAGAGAAGTGCCCCCTGCAGCTCCGCATAGGCGAGTAATGCCCCCTGCAGCTGCGCACCCTGGAGAAATGCCCCCTGGTGCAGCTTCGCCTTGCGGAGATCTGCCCCCTGTAGCTGCGCCCTACCAAGGAGAGTTGCCCCCTGCAGCTGCGCCCTCTTGAGCTTCGCGCCGCGGAGCTGGGCCCCCTCCATAGAGGCGCCGGCCAGATTCGCAAAGATGAGCACAACGACGCGCACCGACTCGCCCGGCTCCCGCCGCAGCGCATCGCCCCACGCCCTCCACGCCTCGCCCAGCTCCTTCCCCTTCTCCCCCTCCACCGCCGGCAGCTCGACGCCCTCGGACCCCTCCACGAAGTCGAGATTCACCATGCGCAGGTCGGCGGCCTTCAGGCTGGTGCCGGCCAGCTTGGCGTCAGAGAGGTTGGCCGCCCGCTTGAAGCCCATAAACATCTCGTACATTCTCAAGGTATCCGCGTCAAAATCTCCGAAAGCGCGCTTCTCGGCCGGCTTGAAGAAAGCACGCTTCTCCCGCCACGCCGCCCACGCCTTGCCGAGCGCCGCTCCCTCGAGGCCCTCCACGTCCGGCGGGTCGAGGACATGCCCCTCCTGCAGCACCGCCTTCACGAGCACCGCGCCGCGCAGGTCGGATCCCTTGAGGTTCGCGCCCGCCAGCCTCGCCGCCGGCAGCTTGGCGCGCTGCAGGTCTCGGCCCTTCAGCTGCTCGCCTCGCAGGTCCGCCGGCGGACGCACTGTCGCTGCCGTTGAGCGCAAGGAGAACCGACCAGTCTGCCGTGATGCCGAGAGGCCCGGCCGCTCCAAAGGTGAAGCTGCGCGGCTCGCTAAGCGGCAAGCGCTGCACGTCCTGCCCCGCCGGCTGCTCGCCTCCCAGGCCCGCCTCGGGCGGATGCCCGGGAGGTCGCTCGGCGCCGGGCCCGAGCGGCTCTGCTCCGCCGGCCGCCTCGTCCTCGCCCGCCGCCGGCGTTGCGCCGAACAAGGCGAACATGGCGCCTAAAAATGGAGACGCTGCGCGAAAAGAATTTGTCGGCCGGTCAGCATCATCGGACATTTTTCGCGCGGCTCGCCGGTGGCGGGAAGAGCAAAGAATGTTACAATGCCCTCCGTCGCTCTCTCGAGGTTCTCGAGGTGGATATCCTTTGGCCGCGTTGGGTAGCGAGGATTGGTGTAACCCGAGCCACGGAGGCGTGTTTTCTGACGGCCGACCGTCAGTGCACGGAGTTGCCCCTTCTCCGACTGCCCCGGCTAGTTCCCGAGGAGTGACCCCTGCGATCCCCGTAGGATCGGGGCGGGGGGGAGGGGTCTCGGGTTTCGTGTGGCTAATACTTGCCTTTCGGGGAGGGGCCTCGGTTGGAAGGCGAGGCTAGCTCAACCCTACTTCTTCCCCTCCTCCCTCGAGGCAGCGAGTAGGCAGCGAGTAGTGAGGGTGGAGGGCCTCGGGAAAGGCGAGCGCAGTGGCGCGCGCCCTACGTCTTCCCCTCCCCCTCGGGAGTACCTATACGCTAGACGAGCGAAGGGCGGTGGCCAGTGCGCGGGCGAGGGGAGGGGGCGGGGGGGCGGCGGGCGGGCGGGCGGGGAGGAGGGGAGGGGAGGGGAGGCTTAGCCATGCAGCTGCTGTCGAGCCGAGGCGGCGGCAGCCGCCGCAGCTGCACCGCCTCCCGTCGCGCCGCGGTCGCCGCTCCCTCAGCGCCGTCTCCGCGTCGTCACCCGCCGTAGCTTCTCCTCCGCCGCCGCTGCCCGCTCCCGAGAGTGCGGCGGCGGTGTGAGTGGTAAAGTGCAAGGGAGGCGTGTGTGTATGTGTGCCGCAGATTGCCCCAAAATCACCCCGTTTTTGCCCATTTTCGGTCATCCGTCAAAATATCTGAAGATCTGACCGGGGGATTCTCCCCAAACCTTGCTCCACTGATCCAGCATGGGTCGTAGGCCAGGCCTGGGCAAAGAAACTAGTACCTCATCAGGCTTCCCTGAGCGTCACAGCTCGGTGATCGCGCCGGCCGGACACCACTGTAACGTCCGTTCCGGGCTTTTGAACGCGACCTTCTGGGGTAAAGACATGGGCTCTACGATGGCTCAGACTGGACTCCTCTTGGTCCCTTCTGATGCCCTAGGCCACACCTGGGCCTTACCTGGGGTCCTAGGGGCCGGGCAGGGTTTGCCCCCCCCAACTGGCCCGGAGAACCTTAAACAAGCTCACTTTTCTTTATATTAGGCTCAAGAATCTAAAGATATAAGGGCCTCGCGTTGTCCGCCGTTTATCCCCGTGACCTGCGCAATTCGTGATACCGAGGAGTCTCGAGCTTCAGCTGGTCCTACCATCATGCCGCTCTCGGAACCGCAGCGGCGCGAGCGCCGCGCCGCGCAGCGCGCTGCCGAGGCTCAGGACGCGGCTCGCGGGCAGCGCAACCGCCCGGCGCCGAGCCGGTGCTAGGCCGCCTCCGCTGCGCCTGCTTCCTTGCGCGCCGCTGGACGTCGGCCGAGAAGACCGCTTCCCTCTGGGGACCCGACTCCGCGAAGATCGCGCGCGCGTCGTGAGTGGCGGCGCGCGCGCGATCTCCGTTCCCGGCCACGCCGGTCGCAGTGGCATGGGCTCCCAGGCTCAAAAGCGCTCCCGTCAACAGCGAGCGAGCGCCGCCGCTGCTCCTCCTCCCGCCGCCGCTCCGCTCACCGAGACAAACTCGGTGCCGCCGTTCTCGCCGCCGCCGCCACCGCCGCCGCCTCGCCCCTCGCCTCCGTCACCGCCGCCCTCCATCTCGCGGCGGCGTCCCTCTGATGGCGCGGGCGCCTCGCTCACCGGCGCCTCGCCGCCGCCCCCCCCCTTCTCGCGCCGCTCCGCTCGAGCGTGGCCGCCGCCTCCCCTGTCAATCCCGCCGCCTCCCCTGTCATCCCGCCGCCCGCACCACCGCCGCCACCGCCTCGCGCCTCGCCGCCGCCGCCACCGACCGCCCTCTCCCCTACGCCGCTGAGCGCGCCGCGGTGCAGGGGGCGAGCCCCCGCTGCGCAGCCTCACCGCAGTGCACTGCGCTCTCCGCGCCCCTGACGATTAGTTGGTGTTGCACAGCATGGAGCTCGGCGAGCGTTTAGCGAGCCCCTCAGCTAGTTCTTTATATGTCCAGATGTCCAACGCCAGCCCAACACTCGCCGACCTGGCTCGGGGCGACCTGGCCTTGCTGCGCGCCCTCCTCTCCGGGCGACGGACGCGCGGCACGCTCGACGCGCGGCTCGACACCGACAAGCAGCACACGCTGCTCACCTGGGCCGCTCGTCACGGGCAGGCCGAGGCGGTGCGGCTGCTGCTCGAAGGCGGTGCGAGCATCGGGGCGACAAATGGCGGCGGCGCTTCCGCGCTGTACATCGCGTGCCAAGAGGGGCAGATTCAGTGCGTCCGGCTGCTCCTCGAGGCTGGCGCGGCGACCGACCAAGCGGATTTTGAAGGCCGCACGCCGCTGTACGTCGCGAGCCTGCAGGGCCATGACCAGTGCGTCCGGCTGCTTCTCGAGGCGAGCGCGGCGGTCAACCAAGCCAAGGACGACGGCGCCACGCCGCTGTACATCGCGTGCCAGAACGGCTACCTCGAGTGCGTCCGGCTGCTTCTCGAGGCGAGCGCGGCGATTAATCAAGCTGATGAAGAAGGCACCACGCCGCTGTACATCGCATGCTATCAGGGCCACCTCGAGTGCGTCCGGCTGCTCCTTGATGCCAGCGCGGTGGTGGTGGTCGACCAAGCCTACAACAATGGCGCCACGCCGCTGCGCATCGCGTGCCAGCAGGGCCACCTCGAGATCGCCCGGCTGCTTCTCGAGGCTGGCGCGGCGTTCGACCAAGCCTGCAACAACGGAGCCACGCCGCTGTCCATGGCGTGCCAGAAGGGCCACCTCGACATCGTCCAGCTGCTCCTCGAGGCTGGCGCAGCGACCGACCAAGCCAGGGACGGCGGCGACACGCCGCTGCTCATCGCGTGCGAGAACAACAGCCTCGAGTGCGTTCGGCTGCTCCTCAAGGCCGGCGCGGCGGTCAATCAGGCCGAGCAGAACGGCGCCACGCCGCTGCTCGTCGCGTGCCTGAATGGCCACATCGAGGTCGCCAAGCTCCTCTCCTCCTACGGCGCCTCCCGCGCCGCAACGCCCTTTGGCACGCCCGAGGAGGTTGCAAACGGTGAAGGCCACGCCGACCTCGCCGCTTGGCTGGTCGCCAGCCGCGGCTGGACGCCGCTCCAGCATCTCGAGGCCTGCCCGAGACTAGCGGCCGAAGGCGTGAGCGTGCTGTCCTCACGCCCATTGCCCCTCTTCCGCAGGCGCTCACCGTCGACCGGGCGCGGACGCTGCTGCGCGGCGGCGCTGACTCTTCCTCCGGCGAGCCTTCTGCCCTCGAGCGGGCGCGCGTCCTCTGCTCGTGGAGCGAGTCGGATCCGACCGCTGCGGCCATCGGTTCCACAGTCGAGATCCGCTCTCTCGTCTCGCGGCCGTCGCTCAACGGCAAGGTTTGCCTCGTCGTCTCCGCAAACGCTTCGACGGCCCGCTTCGGCGTGCGCGTGGCGGGCGAGGCCAAGGCACTCGCACTGAGGCGCGCTATGCAATGGTCTCCCCCCGACTCGCCGGATCCTCTCTTGAACACCCGAAGCCGCTTCTCCCCGCCCTCAGAACACCCGAAGCCGCCTCTCCCCGCCCTCAGGCCGGCCAACCTGCAGCCAGCGGCCGAGGCGGTGGAGGTGGGCAGGCTGGTCCTCAAGGCGGCGGAGTGGTCGCCGCAGTCGCACGAGCTCTTCCCGGAGGCGGCTCGCAAGTGGGCGGTCGAGGTGATGCGGCTGGGCTACCTGATCGCTTGGGACGAGGAGCGCTTCGTTGGCCGCGAGGGAGCGGCTCCAGAACTGGCGGACATCTGGCGCAGTTTCGTGCTGCCAAGGGTGGTGGTGCGGGCCGCCGCCGACGTGCGCAAACGCACATCGCGCCGCCCATGAGGAAACGATATGAAGAGCGTGTGCGTGTGCGCGGTGGATCTGTTCGCTGTGATCGGCCTCTGTCTTGTCTTTCGCCTGTGTCTCGGCAGCCACAGGCTGTCCTGTGATCGAGTCCTGTGGGGCTTACACCAGTGTGACTCTCTGTACTCTGAGTCCCGCGACCCGAAAACCGCGGATCCGCGCAGCATCGAAAACTCTCGTCACTTATCTCCACAGTCCTACGTAAAGCCGTAATGGCCATGGAATGGTCTACACGATCTACGGCTTCCCCCACGCTCTCCGCCTCCCGCGCGCGCCCCCACCTCTGCCCCGGTTGCCATTGCCTGCGCCGGCACGCCCCCCGCGACCACCGGCGCCGCCGACGCTCCCGCGAGCCCGCGTACTAGCTTCCGCGCAGCTGCCGACGCTGCCACGAGCGCTGCCTCCACCCGTCGCATCGGGCGGCCAGACGAGAGAGGAGGCGAGGCGGTGAGCCGGGAGGGTGCCCTCCCAGCTGGTGCCCTCCGCCCTTGGCAGCAGAGGAGGGGAGAGGACGGCTGGGAGAGGAGTTGCCGAGGCCCTCGGCCGAATAGATGGAGCCGATGCTGTGCGGCGAGGCGGAGAGGTGGCGCATGAGCACAGGCCCGACCGGGCCGAGCACGTTGATCGAGAGGCCCGTCATCATGAGCACAGAGGAGTAGACGCCCGTCACGCCGAATCGGTGCCATGGCCACTCGGCGTTGAGCATGCCGCCGGGGCACGCACCCTCCCGTCAAGGCGGTCAACGCAAGCGGCCGGCCCTTGTGTCAGCTGCTTCAGTGTGGTTCCCTCCGCGCCGCGAAGAAGAGAAGAAATACGCCTTCCCCTCTTCCCAGGTCTTCCCCTCACATCATCGGCGTGCCCAGAGAGACGCGGCTCCCTCCGTCGGACCCCGTGCGCTCGCCCTTGCGCAGCGGGGCCAGGAGCGAGGCCGTCATCTGCTGCGCCTTTGCCTGCACCGTCTTGTCGGTGACCACCGCGGCGAGCGCCATCACGAGGGCGCCCACCACGCCAAAGGTGGCGAGGTAGAGGAAGGCGTGCAGCGTGTGCGCCTCTGGCGAGACGAGGAGCTGCAGCGCGGAGAGGACGCGCAGCGCGTCGAGCAGGATGCCTGCGTCGAGACACACGCCCCGAGTGGGTTGGCGCGAGCGGGCGGCGCGGGGCGAGATGGAGAGGGGTGCGTCCGGAGGCCGCACACCCGTTGCGGCGACGAGGAGGAGGAGGCCGCCGCCGCCGAGCATGCCATGCACGACCGTCGGGGCCACGCCGAGCGCGTTGAAGAGGAGCCAGCGCCAGAGGTCGTGCGAGGTGGCGACGAGCCGGTCGATGCCGGGAGGCGGGGGCGGCGGGGGCGGGGCGGGCGGGTACATATCTGTCTGCCAAAACCACTCGCTGTCGGTGGAGTGGTCAACCTCCGACCAGTAGGCGGGAGGCCACCCAGCGGGCTCGGGGGCGGGCTCGACGTCTTGCCACGGCCAGAGGAGGCCGAGCGCGTTGTGCAGGAGAAGAAAGTAGACGACGGCGGGCAGAGTGGCGCCCCACGCAAAGGCTGGAGCCTACAGGGTCCACATATCGCGCGCGCATCGCGCCGCTGCCCTGCCTCCTGTGGCGCGCCGAACGAGCGCGCCTTGAGCCGATCGGTGTGCCGCATCACGAGCAGGGAGACGCACCAGCAGGCCGAGAAGAGGAGCGACCAGAGGCGTGGAAAGGTTTCGGAGAGGCTTCCGCCGTCACAGGAGGAGGACGAGGAGGCGTCGCGAGCAATGCACCAGAGCACAACGCCGCTCTGCAGGAAGCCGAGATAGAGGAGGAGCGGCATCGATGCGACCGCGCGCTGCGAGCGGCGCCAGATTAGCACGGCGAGCGCCACTTGCGGCAGCGGGACGAGCAGGAGGTAGAGGGAGGCGACGCCGGCGCAGGCGGGCCCCGACACGCGGCCGTCCCCGTCGATGGCTTGGACGATGGCGTCCCTACCCACAGATTCGAAGGGTGTGGACGCACCGCGGGCGTTGATGGCGTGTGGTCGCCGGGTGGTGGCACGCACCACAGCTGTACGGCGACAATGGACGAGGACATGGCGCCGGCAAAGTAGAAGATGTCGGAGGCGGACGCCGCGGGCGCGCCGCCGCCGTCCTGGCGGCCGAGGTACCGGCCATGAAAGAAGAGGAAGCCCGAGTATGCGCCTCCGGCAAGCACGCCGAGCGGCGCTCCGCCCACCGAAGTTGACAAGCACCAGAGCCCGATGCCACAGACGTGATAAAGGCAGCCGCTGCAGAAGCCGAGGAGCAGGCCGGGCGAGCCAATCACTGGGAGGAGGCCGAACTCGGCCGGGTTGTGGCCGAGCTGCGGCGCGCCCGCACGGACGAGCGCTGCGTGCACAGCGCCGTGAATGCGATCGGGCGAGCAGCCGGCTTCGTAGGCGGCCGCGGCCGCGTTCTCGAGGCTCACCAGCTCGACCGAGTGCTGCGGTGCCGCGTCGTCGGCGGTGGACTTGCTTGCCTTCATATCTCAGTAGGCCTTGTGTCGGGGACGCGCCCAGGTGCAGCCGGCTTTGATCATGCCTCGTCTCTTTATTTTTTTTGAGAGCGCCTTCAAAACGAGACCGTCAATCAATCAGACCGTGCGCGGAGGGGGGGTTCCGAGCGGTGATGTCAGTGAGGGATGTGTGTGTTGTCGTGCTAGTGTCTGGTGTCTACTAGCCCCGAGTAGAGGGGGCGTTCCGCCGCTAGGGGAAGCCCGGAGCGCAATAAATAAATAAATAAAACGGGCACGCCAAGCGAGGGGTGGGAGAAGGACAGGGTCCCCACCTGACGAGCAGGATCTTGTAAGGACGATCAGGGACACAGGGGAACGGGAGCGGGGAGCGCATCGCGACACGGAGGGGGGCTGGGGGGCTGGGCAGGGTTCACCCACACGACAGGGTCCCAGGGACTCCTCTCTCGTATAGGACAGGTTGCACCCGGCGGCACGGGGGCAGGCGCGGGCCTCCTACTGGTTGCGCTCTCCTAGTTCTCCTGCTCCTGACAAGGGACAGCGACAGGCTCGCAGCACGGTGGACTCCCTATTCCACTGGCGATCTCTCTCGACTAGCGACCTTCCTCCGGCTTCTCACCAGCAGTCTCTCACTACCACGGGCCCACTGACAGAGGCGGCCAAAAGGCTCACGTGGGTGGCAGGGCGGTGATAGGAGTCTCCCACTCTGTGGGCTTCGCTAGAGGTGCGGCCCCTGCGCGTGTCCTCGCCCTTGTGCGGTCTTGAAGGGGAAGGGGAAGGGGCTGTGTGTGTGTGTGTGTGTGTGTGTGTGTGTGTGTGTGTGTGTGTGTGTGTGTGTGTGTGTGTGTGTGTGTGTGCCTGCGGGCGCTGTGCGAGCCGCCCTGAACGACCACAACGTTGAGCGCGCTCGAGCACCGAAGCACCGCGAGAGCGCCGGCGATATCGGCGCTCCGGGCGCCCGGTCATCTGCAGGTGAATGCTCAGCCAGACGCTCACCTACACATTCACATGCCGGCCACCGTGGCCTGTGGAGAAGCTCGCCGTCCATTCTGTGTCCAGGCCTGCTGCGCACTCGCGGTGCTCTGCTCTCGGCGAGCGGGAGCGCAAGCGATGGCGGCGACGACGGCGGCGCGGACGGCAAATGCGCCATTCGCGGCGCTGCTCCACGTCTCGTCGACTCGCGCCCTGGAGCAGGGGCCGCTCGAGCAGGGGCCGCTCCTCCTCCGGCACGCACTCGGCGACCTTGGACTCGGCGGTGGGCTCCTGCCAGTGCTCGAGTTCGTGGGTGGAGGGTGGTGAAAGGTGAGGGCCGAAATGTATTGCTATTGGCAGGTGTTTGGTCGTTGCGCGCTCATCCTCGTGAAGCCAACGATAAGGGGCTCCAGCGTCCAGGCCGTCAGACGGGAAGAGCTCCCAGACAGGACGTGGTACCATGAGACCTCGGTTTGTGTCGACGAGGGATCAGGGTCGAGTCTCGAACGTCTCGGGTGTGCCACTGACGAGCCGTACCGGAGGTGTGCACTCAAGTGGCGCCACCGCCCCAGAGGCAGAGCCTGTGGGCTGGTGGTGGTGCGCTCCTGTACCTACCCACGGCGGCTTTACTTTTATGGCGGCCCCCCAGTCGCACCGTCGGACCCCGCGCGCGGGCGGGGCCGCAAAACTATTTTCGTGGGTCAAGTACCTCAGTGCTCAGTTCTGAGTTCAGTGTGCCCCGCAGTAGTAAGTATATGAACAAAAAGGAGAACCTCCAGAGCGAGAGAGACAGAGAGCGAGGGAGGGGGTCCCACCGAGAGACAGACGCAGAGCTGCAGAACACACCCATGGGAAGAGCAGTCTCGCTCCAGAGCGAGCAAGAGACTCAGTCGGATAGATTGTGCGGCGCCGGGTTACGGCCGCGCAAGTGATGCGATAGGTCCAGACGCGCACACGCCAGAGGGCTACTGCCCCGGGGAGCCGCCTCGAGGCGCGCGGCAGAGGTAGAGGCGCATGCGGTCGAAGCGGGCAGACCCCGCGGCGGGCGCGTGAAGCCGGCGCCATCGCCAGCAGCCGCTCCTTCTCTCCGGTAGTGGAGGGGGCAGGGGGGGGGGCGGCGGCGGCGGGCGAATAGGCGAGGCCTCAGATCGAGGAGACGCAGAGGTAGATGTTCTCCATGTACTCCTCGATGACGGCGTTCGGGGACACAAAGTCCCTGGCAGAGGGGGGAACCCGTCAGGCAGGGGGGGGGGGGAGGTCGAGGGAGTGTCCAGGGAGTGTCTAGGAAGTGTCTAGGAAGTGCTAGGGAGTTGTCTGGGGAGTGTCTAGGAAGTGTCTAGGAAGTGTCACCAGTTGCCGACGGCATGCTCCTCTGGGAAGTGTCTAGGAAGTCTTTGGGGAGTGTCTAGGAGGTGTCGCCAGTTGCCGACGGCATGCTCCTCTCCGCCGCCCTCGGCGCCAGCTTCGTTGATGTCCGCGGCGATCTGCTCGGCCTGTAGCATCAACTGCGATGCTCTAGCGTGCGTGGCGGCGGGTGGGGGCGCGGCGGGTGTGTGCGGCCGCCTTCTTCTCGCCCTCCCGCTTCTGCTTGCGCGGGCCCTTGAGGCCCTTGCACGGCGAGTCGAACTTCTTGAGCGGCACTAGCTCCCACTCGATGCCGCGCCAGTACGGGTGGTCGAGCAGCTCGCTGACGCCCCTCGCCCCGCACCCGAGCCGCGTCTTGTGGTCCTGGTCGAGCGACATGAGCCGTGAGGACTACTACTTCTGCAGTGGCTCCCGTCTCGGCGCCGTCTTGTGGAGCCTGGTCCAGCAGCGCCTTGACGAGCGCCTCGCACTGCGAGTCCGCAAACTCGTGGTGCCGGTAGACGGGGCAGTCGTATTCGGGGTGGCTGAACGGGACGGTGCCTGCATGGGGAGAGATGGGGAGATATGGGGAGATTAGTGCTCGGGGTGGCTGAACGGGACGGTGCCTGCATGGGGAGAGATGGGGAGAGATGGGGAGATTAGTGCTCGGGGTGGCTGAACGGGACGGTGCCTGCATGGGGAGAGATGGGGAGAGATGGGGAGATTAGTGCTCGGGGTGGCTGAACGGGACGGTGCCTGGCCGAGCTCACTCACACTCAGTCTTCACAGTCGTGCTCCGCGTGTGTGGTGGAGCGGGGGCGGGGCCGGCCGAGAGCTCGTTAGGGCTAGGGGTTAGGGTTAGGGTTAAGGGGTTAGGGTTAGGGGTTACGGGTCAGGGTTAGGGTGAGGGGTTAGGTTGAGGGTGAGGGGTCAGGGTTAGGGTGAGGGGTTAGGGTGAGGGTGAGGGTGAGGGTGAGGGTGCCGGCGGAGAACTCGTAGGTCAGCACGCCGACGGTGTACCAGTCGCACGAGAATCCGTACTGCTCGCGCCTAATTAATTAATTAACTAATTAATTAATGGCTAGTTAATTAGTCGCACGAGAACCCGTACTGCTCGCGCCGGTCCTTGGCCCACCGCACCTCGGGCGCCATGTAGCAGTCCGTCCCTACCGCGAAACAAAACAGAGGCGGCGGGTGGGCCGCACGGATTTCTTTTGGGGGGGGCGGCGCCGCCGCGAGGACTCTGTGCCGACGCGCGAGCGGCGCTTGGGCGACTTCTTTGTCACGCGCGCTGCGAGGCCCATGTCGATGAGCCGGATGTGGCCTTGCTCGTCGATGAGCAGGTTCTCGGGCTTGAGGTCGCGGTATAGCACCGACGCCTGGTGCATGTACGCTATCACGCAGACCGTCTCCATCACCACGAACCGGACCTGGCCGGAGGGAGGGCGGGCAGGGAGGAGGCGTGGGCTGGCCCCGAGGTGAGCCGCCTCGTGGGGAGATATGGGGAGATATGGGGAGATGTGGGGAGATGTGGGGAGATATGGGGAGATATGGGGAGATATTTGGAGAGATGGGGAGAGATGGGGAGGTATGGGGAGATATGGGGAGAGATGGGGAGAGATGGGGAGGTGAGCCGCCTCGTGGGGAGCTGCGGCGAGAGGAGAGGAGGTGTTGGGAGGAGGGGTTGGGAGGAGGGGTTGGGAGGAGGGGTTGGGAGGAGGTGTTTGGGTGGAGGTGTTTGGGCGACCTGGTCCGGCGTGAGTCGCTTCTTGGTGAGAACGAACTCGGAGAGGTCGCCCGCGGGCACCAAGTCCATGACGAGGACGAGGAACTCTTGGTTCTGGAAGGAGTAGTGCAGGTTGACCAGCAGCGGGTGCGAGAGCGACGCCATCAGGTCCTTCTCGAGCCAGATCTTCTTGCGCCACGAGGAGCCGAGGCAGCGCCGCATCATCTCCTTGTGCATCACCTTCAACTCAACTCAGTCGAGTAATAAGTAATGACTCAATTCAAGAATGACTCGTCTCCTGGTGTGCATCACCTTCATCGCGTACCGCTTGCCGCAGTCCCGCTTGACCACCTCGAGCACCTGACCGGAAGCGCCGAAGAGCTTGATGCAGACCGATTCATTCTCAGCTACCAATCAACCTGCCGCACCTGCCCGAACCCTCCCTGGCCAAGCACGCGCAGCAGCCGAAAGTCGGGCAGCCCCGGCACCACCCCCTCCTTCGCCTTGAGCTCCAGGATGTACGAAAAGTGGTCCGAGCGAAGGAAGGGCTCGTAGCACTGCGCCTGCAGTCCTCGTCACTAACTATTAGTACCACTAGTCGTAAGGCTCGTAGCACGGTGCCTGCAGTTCTCGGTCTCAACTCCTCGCAATGCTAACTCAGGGCTCTACCACTGCGCCTCCATCGCCGCCACCGCCGCCAGCTGCGCGCTGTCGAAGATCCGGCGCGCGGCGGCGGCGGGCAGCGACGCGTCTGCCGCGGCCCGCGTCTGCGAGAGCAGCTCCGCCCTCGCCTGTTGACGACCAAGAATGCACCAGTAACTAACGGGCAGAACCGCGTCTGCGCGAGCAGCCCCTCCCCCCCC